ACGTCCAACAGCACATGAAAATGAATCTTCAGGATCTTTTAAACTATAATTTTCACCTAATATTCGTACATCTTGTCCTGATTTAAGTGTACCACAAAAAATTCTTCCTAAAACATGAAATGATGTTGCATCTGATGTTGAATAATTTTTTGTTGTATGAATAATTACAGGTGCCTATTAGAAGAAAAACAAAATATATTTTGAACTTTTTCTCTTAACAATAATAATAGTTAGAAGAATGAATTTGATTAATTAAATTATTCAAAATAGATTTAAAAGATTACTTTTAAATTAATATTTAACTTACATCAGGATTACAATTATTCATATCTGTTACAATATCTTCTTGTAAACTACCAGTATATAAATGTTCAATTTTATTTTTAGCATTTACAATTGGTGATGGAATATGTTGAACAATCATATCAGTAAAACCTTTAAATTCACCAAAAAATCGAGCACAAACAAGACGAAGTAATGGACGTATATTAAGTTTTAATTCAGTTTTTGATAAACGAATACCTAATTCATCAATAACACCAGGAAGTGTTATATCAACATCACCAACTACCTATAGAAAATAAAACAAAAAATTATTAGCATACAATCACAAAAGTTTATGTTAAATAATTTACATGAGCTAGAATTTTATAAAGTGGTTCAAGAATAAATTGAACAAATGAACGAGATGAATTTGCTGTAGCACCTTTTTTACCAAATGTTCGTCTATATAAGAAAAAACGATAATAAACAAAAATTATGTATTTATATATTTACGTTTTAGTGTTGTAATAAATATCACCCCATAATCGTTTTGCTAATGTTTGATAATCAAATGTATTACCTTAAAATATATTCAATTAATTTTGATTTCAAAAAGAAAATTCTTATTTTTATTTACCATGTGTATCAGCATAAACTTTAGCAAATGATTTAAGTGTAAAACAAAATCGATAATATGAACTAGCAAAACATACATTATTAAGTAATGGTGATACATATGAAGCACTACTTTCATCTTCAGAATATGTTCTAAAATAAATAGAGAATTTATAAAATACTAATGAAAGTCAAATTTAATATGTATTTATTCTTTTTTTTGTTTCACTTTCGATACTTGAGACACTTATTAACATAAAAGAAAAAAGAAAAACGTTATAATTTCAATAAATATTTTAATCTATTTATTTGAGTGTACTCTACAGTAAATATTTAATAAGTTACTTGAATTATAAAAAGTATTCTTTTTTACGACTTATGAAGTTTACTTAAAAGATTATACTACAATCATTCCTATCATAGATTCATAATATTCAAGAGAAATGTTCGGAGTTTTATGGAAAATTACGATTCTCTTTAGGCTATAATTTGAGTCGAGGTTGCTACGAAAAGTTATAGGAATGCAAAATGAAAAAGTTGTGTACCTAAAAATATCTATGAAGAACTTTTAGGAATTTAATACATGTTATAAAGATAGGCATGCCCAACATTATCGTATCTAATGGCGAAAAGCAAGCTTTACATCCAAATCTGAGTTTTTTATGGATTTAATATCTTTAAAAAAAAGTCTAGTGTAACGGTCTGACCGTTAAATCACTTCGGATGATTCTCTCATTCGTATTCTATTCAAATTTTCCTTGCCAACACAAGCTATGCCGCGTTCGTCACTTTCTCAACCCACATCCTCACTGTATCTGTTTAAATCATTAAATCTCTTACTTAATTAATCCATTAACTTCATCAATAATATGTTTTATTTTAAAATAAGCATCTTGTGGTGGTAATTTAAGTTCAAGTACAAGACGATCAATTTTATTAATACATAATGTTATTGCAAGACGTTCTTGTATAGCATGTTTAATTAATCGATCTGTATTAAGCATAACACCTTCATGTGCATCAACAAAAACTATAACACCATCACATAAACGAAATGCAGCTGTAACTTCATCAGAAAAATTAACATGACCTGGTGTATCTAATATATTAAAAAGAAAATTTTTATCTTTAAGATCTGGTAAAAGTATTGTAAATGGTGTAGATTTAATTGATACACCACGTTCTTGTTCAGTAAATAATGTATCAGTATATCTTAACTAGAATATAAAAAAAAAAGAAATTTAATTAAATTATATATTTTGAAAAATAAAACAAAAAAAAATGACAAACTTCTTTATTTTCAGTTGATGCTAAATATGGATGAGTTTGTTCAATTAATGCATCACAAAAAGTTGTCTAAATTTCAAAAGAAAACCTAATATTTAAATGAACAAAAATATTAAATTACTTTTCCATGATGTAAATGTCCACATATAGCAATATTTCGTACAAGTTCTGGACTATCCATTAAATCAGATAAATATCTAAAGAATAAAAATCAATAAAAAAAAAAAATTTTTTTATATGATTTTTTTCTTATTACTCAAGATCATATATTGTTTCAGGTATTTCTTGTTCAACAAATGAAAATTTTGCTTTTTTTACTGGTGCTATAATTGGTTCAGTTAATGCTTGTGTATCTTCTTCTTGAACAACAGTTTCAACATCAGCTCCATAAATTTCTAAAGCACTTGGATAATATTTTTTATCTTCATGTAAGACAACAGCTGTTGATAAATTAGAAACATCAATAGCTTCATTTTCACCTCCAGCTTCATCACCATCATCTTCCTATAATAATAGTTATTATAATGATAAAATGATTTTTATCTACAAACCATATCACTTGTTTGATCAACATTTGCTAATTCTTGTCGATAACCATTTTGTTGTTCATCATCTTCTTCGTCCGATTCAAGTTCTGGACCCATATAATTACCAAATTGATCATAAAGATCTGTTTGATCCATATTTAAAGAAGAAAAGAAAAATTTATCTGAAAAAGAAAAAAAAAAGAAACTCTACATATTCTATTCCATTTAGATCATAAATCGTTAATCGCTATTTAAATAGAAATAGAATATTGAATACAATAAAGTTTATCGATCGGATGTTTGACATAAACTTTAAGGTATTACAAAAAAAAAAAAAAAACGTTTGATCAATAAAGTCTCCTAAATAATAGAAAAATAAATAATTATTCTTATATAAAAGCAAATAAAATATATGATTGAAGGTTATTAAATGTATGGCGTTCATTTCATCAGTATCTTATTTCCATAGACATTGTTGTCATTGCGCACAAATAGAAATCAAATCTTCCTAAGGTGAAGTATTCATTTTAAGATGATATACTAAACTTCTTCTTAACTTATTCAAGTGAGCAGTAACAAGAAATAATAAACTTATGTTCGCATGAAATGTTTTTATTTATCTTCGAACTTCGAATAATTGTAATATTTGCATCCGTACTATTATTATTGTTTATCATAATGAATCCCTATAATAGTATTTGATATGACTAAAACATAGGAAGAACTCAAAGAATTGTTTATTCTTAAAAGAATAACAAAAAAATAAAATTTATTGAGTAACTTCTTTTTTTTTTTGGTTCTACATCAAAACTCAATGAATCAAATGTGTTTATTAGTAATTTTATTAATTAAAACTAAAGAAAAGACGGAAATTTGTTTGAATTCAAGTATCTATTATATAAAAATCGAATAGAATCAATTGCAAAAGCATAAAAAAAAAAAAAAAAAGAAGAGAAATCTGATACAAATGATTATGCAAGAATAACAACAACACTTTAATCCCAACAACGACTCGTAGAGTCGATTGCGAGTCGACAACAGAGAATGTCCAATTGTTGCATCATACAATTCTTTTTTTTTTTTTTTTTTATTTCAACAACTTGCTCGATGTCCGAGCGAACAAATATATTTGATCAAGTGTAAGTAATCATTTTCAAACAAACTTAAAATAAAACCGAGAGAGAACAAGAAATATACGATTGAATAAGTGAAATCAATTTTTCTTTTCGTGTTCATCATATACACATATATACATTTTCATCGTTTTTTTTTTTGCATAGAACAGTAACACAAATAAACTATCATTTATTATCTAACAATAATAACAGACAAATTGTATCGAAGAATCGTTTTTTCTTTCTTGTCTATTCCAATAGGAATTCTTCTATGAAGAATTTTGATTGTCATCAACCTTCAGGTTACTTCATTTTTCTTTTTTTTCTTCTCTTTGTTTTCATATTCGATACTTTTCATATAATCTATATATATATATATATTCTTGTATATGCAATATATGCATACCAATCGGTAATTTGTCGTATCGTGTCTGAATATAGACATACACTTTAGCACTGCTGCCATCAATTCATAATGTATATATTTCAAATACGATGGACATATACATATACTGAGAAGAGCGAAAGAGAGAGAAAAGGAGTATAGAGAAAAAAAAAGTCGCGTATATATGTGTATAAATATAAATACGATAGAACTTTCTCTTTTGAGCACGAATAAAAGAAAGAAATAGTTACCCGCTTATTATTATCATTAGTACTATGTTCAACAGCAGGGATTCAAGTAAGCAATTACTGATTTCCTCATTTTTTTTTTTTTATCAAGGTTATTCCAAAAAGCTTCTGATAATATTTATTTGATATATGTCCCTGATGTGAAGGATTACAAACTATAAAATATGATGTTATCAAGAGTTCGTCATTTGTTTCTTTTTTTTTTGAATTGAAGATCTTTTTGAATTTTATGAATAACCTATCGTCATGAAATGAGCTCAAAAACAAAATAATAAAATCTCCTCCTTTTTTTCTTGAAAGAAAAAAAAAATTCATAACAAAATTCTCTTTTTTTGTTTCTCGTTTGTATAGATTAAATGTGTCAAAATTGATAAATTCTTCTCTTTTTGTTTTTTTTTTTAATGTCTTATCATATTCATTAAAAAGAAAAATTGTTGATTGAAAACAAAAAATAAAACAAACAAAAAACAGGTAAGTGACACTCCTTATTCAAATATACGTGACAAATATAGTTTATTTTATTTCATTTATTAAATTTTTTACACATAGTGAAATAGAAATGCGTCGAGGAACAATCATAAATTCATGGCAAGATTTACATACTATGACAAGTTCATGTTTAAATCAAAGTGTAGGCTTTGATAATGAACCATTTAATTCAAGTAAACAAAATCAACAACAAACAAAGGCTACTGCTTATTATGAAACAGATCATTCATCAGTACCCTGCAGATCACTTTCACCACCAATAAGTTCTTTAAATAACAATCATGAACGTGCAAAAAGTGCTGATCATTCTCAAATGTCATTAAATGCAACAATGCCAATGGCACCATCATCTTCATCTACATATACTGACCCATTGAATAATTCAGCAAAAACAACTTCACGTATGTCTCGTTCAGTTAATGCACGTAATAATAGTACTGTTGATAATCATTCAAATACAATATATATTGATAAACTTCATGAAACACAACAAGAATGTGAAAAACAAGAATTAAATTTACTTAATAAACGTTTTGGAAATTATTTAGATAAAATAAAACATTTAGCTAATATAAATGCTAATCTTCGTCGACAAGTTGATAATGCATATAGAAAATATATGGGACAATATGAAGAACAAGATATTGAAATAAAAAATGATAATAAAATTATTATTAAAAAATATCAACATCCATATGAAATACAATTAAATAATTTACGTAAAAATATTAATAATGAAGTACATGCACAAACATTAGTACAAATACGTTTACAACGTGCTGATTATGATATTAAATTTTATCTTAATAATATTAAATTATTAACATTACATGAACAAAAACAAGCTGAACAAATTCGAAAAATTCGACAACAACTTGAAATTAATTTACAAGAATTAGAACAACTTAAACAACAATGTGAAAATCGTGAACAAGATTTACAAGTAAGATATATATTTTTTTTTGATAAGAAATCGTACTGAAGCTAAATTTTTTTTTTTTTGACCAGGGTCAATACTTTTTCATTGAAAGGTATATCTTTTATAGTCGTGTAAGACAGCGATCAAATATCATATTCTCATGAGTTATATGCTTTAAAAGCTTATGCGAAGATTATTGAGTTATAATAACTTCAATATTTACTCTTGTAATGATTAGAGTAAAAAAAAAAGTCATCCATTGTTCTTCGTAAACAACAAATCATACATGAAGATATTAGTAAATGAAAAAAAAAGTTAATCGATATGTTTCGTTGACTTTAGTCCTTCGTAATCAAATAACATTATTGAGAGATTTATTTATGTAATGTTTCAAAATCAAAACTTAAAATTTGATTTTTAGGTTTTGATTGAAAAATTTAATATGTCAAAATAAGTCTCAATTAAAAAACGATCGGACACGTCGTCAGATGGATGTTCATGACAAACGAATAGCTATCTAAGTTTGATATTATAACGCTAAAGATAAATGAGGATCAATAAGTTAAGTTCAGGTCTTCATCTTTGTGATGGTGCACTTCTTTTCTATTGATCTCACAAGGAATAATCAATACGAAAAACTAAACTGAGTAACGATTGATTCGAATTGTTAGATAGTTGGTTCTGGATCTTAGCTTTCTTTACTATAGCCTTTCTTTTTCTATATTTAAAAAAATTATTTTATCTTTTGATATTTATTAGAAATTCATTCTAATTCTCTTTTAAAATTTGATCTAATTTTGCTTATTTTGATTTCAAATAGTTTTTCTTTCAACAATTCAAAATTCCTATAGAAAACTTAAACTTTATGTTTGTTGTTTTTTTTTTTTCTTCTCATTTTATTCAGATGTACAAAAATCAATATGATGAATATATAAATAAATTAATCAATTTTTCTAATGATTATGATAAAATAACTTATGAACGAATGGAAAATGAAAATAATTTATCTACTCTTAAAGAACAAATATCATTCGAACAAGAATATTATCATAGACGACAACAAGAATTTGAATATTTAGAAAAATTTCATTATAATTTAAATAAAGAATTTAATAAAAATGAATTTCATTATATTGTTCAACAAATTCGGTTAGTAATTCTTTTCTTGTCTTTTTTTTTGTGATACACAAATGTTAAATTCTAACGAGGAAACATTTTCAACTGTCCAATTGCTTTTGAGTTCAGACTCTGTACATACAGTAGACCTTCTGTCCAAAGTTATAGGCATTTTAGCTTACGGTATGGTATATACCAAAAAATCGAATGACGGTATTTCGAACTGAGTTTTAGTCCACAGACAGGCCTATTCCTGAGAAAAATGTCCTGAAAATTTCAGTTCGAAAAAATATTTCTTTCTCAAAATATTGCAGTCCCAAGAATCACTCACATTTCCTATGAACGATACTAAAATATTCTCTTTTTTGAGACTCTAATATCTCAGTTCGAAATACCACCATTCGATTATTTGGTATATACCATGTCATAAGCTAAAATTGCAGTAAAATGCCTATAACTCTGGACAAAAGGCCTAAGAGCATTTATTCTTTTGGGATTTTTCATATCTCAATGGGATCTACTTTATGCATAGAGTCTGAACTCAAATGCAATTGGACAGTTGAAAACGTTCCATTGTAAGAGTAAAACTTTCGAATTACATACAACAGTTCGCTATGAATAGTTTTACATTTTTAGTAAAGATTATCAAGAACTTAATGATATACGTTTATCTGAATTAGAAACATTATATAAAACAAAATTAGATACAATACGAAATGAAATAATAAAACATGATGAACAGAAAGAACAACCAAAACAAGATGAAATTCGTCTAGTTTTAGATTCAACAAAACAAGAATATAGAAAATTAATTGAACAAAATCAATTACTTAAAGATAAATTAGGTAAATTATGAAAATAATTCTCATTTTTGTTTTTTCAAAAAGTAATTTTTTTTTCTTTTAGAACATCTTGAACATAATCTTCATACGATAATTGAACAAAATCATCAACATTATGAAATATCCGATCGTGAATATAAAAAATTACATATTGATTTATCAGAATTAGATTGTATTATTGTACATTTACGTGAAAATACTGTTAATCTTTGGTCAGAAATAAATACATATCGATATTTATTACTTAATTTACTTACACCAACTAATGATAAAAAAACACATCAACAATATCAAAAATCATCTCGTTCATTTTCTTCTCCACCAACATCAATTAAAAAAATTATTTCAACAGAAAAATCTAATACATCAACTATAACAACTGAACATAATATTCAAGAAATAAAAAATTCAATATCAACAAAAACAAAATCATATCCACAACAATATCGTGATGAAACGACCGGTTTCATTGTACATATTGAAGATGGAATAATATGGGTGCGAATTTAAACATTATATATATATGTTTGTGTCTTTAGAAAAAAATTATTCATTTAAATGTAGTATTAGTGTGTGTGCTTGCGCTGTTTTAGTTTTACAAACAACAAAAACATTTAAAATTGAAAACAATACTTTCGAAACGTTCTATGAAAATAAGAATCAGTTTTTGCATTTGATAATAAAGAATTGATATTAACATTGATTTTGAAATATATACAAACGATAATGTTGTGATTAATTATATTCTCTATTTTATATAATACTAGCCGAAGTACTTGGCGTTGCTCGGAGAAATTCAACATATCATTTATGACAAATTGAAAAACGATAGCCTTATGTTTTCCTATAAGTTACCGATCATGCATGTCGCAAAATGCACTTAAAATCGCTTCCATTTCTCTGTTTCACAGACCACAACAGAGACTTTCCATATGCAGCTGTCAGAGCCGCAAGTAGTGTTCAAAAATGAGAGAGGAAGAGAAATTTTTGAGTCCACAACCCATTTTCTGGCAAGAGCCTGGTGGTCATTCTAATTTGGAGGATCGATTAACGAAAAATTTTCTAAATTTAGCAGTGAGATATTCTATCTCTCTATATTTGCGCTACGGACACTTCTTATTTTCTGGATGATGTGTAGCATGACGCAGGTCTTCCACTACAATGAAAACGGCTCCATTGTATTTCACATCTTAATCCCGTAGAGATTATGCTGCAGAATTTTTTTCGTTCTGTGGGTTTCTTTAATTTGAGATATATGATTTAAACCTTCAGAACAGAATAATGAGATAACTGAAGGTTTGCGTGATTCGGTAAAGGACAAACTTTTCTATTGAATAGCCGTATTTCAAGCCAAAGCTCAATCGGAAATCCTTTAGCAATATAGTGTCCAAAATCTTTACCAATGAATTCACCTGATTGGTCGGTCTGTTGGTCAATCAGATTTTCATGCCCCAGAATCTGTTGTGTCGAATAGTGAATATCATAGGTCTTAATCTTCTTTCGTTCTCGAGTTATTGAGAAAATAGTCACACGCACAAACGTTTTGGATAGAACACATATTGTAGCGTTTCAAGAATGGAGCTACTAAGAGTACCCCGGCGGTAAAAATTTTGAATGCAAAGTTTGGTTGCACTGGTTCCTACAGGATCCCAATGCATACCAAACAAACAAATTTTCTTCTTAATATATTAGATTCTTAAAAATTCACTTACTTTCAAATGATGATCTAACCAATAATGACTAGAATTTTAATGTATTACACATATCTGAAAACAAAAAAAAAAAATCATTGACAATAGATAAGATCCGAGACAAAGAAAAAACACATATTTATTAACATGACAATAATTGTTAGTTTTCATCTTCTTTTTACAAAAAAACAAAACAAAACTAGGTATTTTTTGATTTTTTCTTTGTTCCAACATCCGCATTCATACGAAGTACATCACCAGGTGATGGATATGGCCGCATTTGAAATAATTCACCACTAGCAGTATCATCAACACCAGTCTTGGCTTTACCTTTTAAATCAAGCCCGGATGACCAATTACCTCTGAAATAACAAATATGCATATTAGCAAAAACTCACGAACATTTACCTGGGTACGTCGGAATAAGATGATGGATCCATCTGAAATATAGAAAAATCAAATATCGATAATAATTTTTTTGGAAAAAACTGACTTACTGGATCAACATCATAACTCAACATTTTACCAGCTAAAATAAATAAATACATTCATGAATAATATTTTTCGGCTATAGATCAGTAACTGAACGAATTTTTTAAGACTATTTCTAGTACATCCTGATGGATTATGATTATACTTACCAATTTTACGTTTTAATTTTTGTACAGGATTTAAATCTTCTTCATCTGTATCTGATCGTTCTCCCGCCTAAAAATTCATCATTTTTTTCTTTTCAAATAGAATTTTTATATAATATCTTACATCATTTGAATTTTTCTTTTTCTTCTTCTTTTTCGATGATGATCCAGATGCTTGTTTTTGTGCTTCTGCTGTTTTTCTTTCCATTTCTTTTTCTAAAAAAAAAAAAAAAATAACAAGAAATCGATTCATTCAAAAACAACAAATTCTTCTTACGTTTTAATTTAATTGCTGATTGAGTTATATGTGAACGTGGATGAGAAGGTGGTAACCATGATACTTCATCAGTTTCTATATTCCAATAATAACATCGATCTAAATTAGCATCTGGAACTTCACGCCAATTGTTTGGTAAAGGATATTTTTTTAACATTCGTCGACGACGTTTTTCAATTGCTGGATCAGGTGTATAATGTTTTGTACCATATCTTTTAAAATGAAAATAAATCATTATGTTGTAGGAGTACAGATCAACGGTTTAGTCCCTGTCAGGGGTGATACTTCTCGCAAAGTTAGTGTCCGGAAGAAGAAAAAAAATCTAGATAGAACATTGCTACAATAATAAATATCATTTAGGGAAAAATTAAAAGGAACTATAGGGTCAGGTACTAGATGTATTCTCACTTTTGTCATGAGGAATGTTCTATTTTGTATCTACTTCAGATCGCTGTATTGTTACGGTTGTATAAAATCAAAAATTTCGTTCTTTACCGTTTTTTACAATATTCAACACAAGTATGATATGGATTCCATTTATTTGGACATTTGATACAGTCTTCAAAGTCAATTTGAACATCAGTAGTTGCGAAATTATTTGAAATAGTCTAATAAAAAAACCTATTAAAACAAATTCTCTGAAATAATAAATATACTTTTTTTGGTATGTTTAATGTTGAATGATGATCATCACGTTCATCATAACTTTCAGCAAATACTTCTTCACTTTGTTCATCATTTTCAGCACTAGCATCTGATAGAATGAAAAATAAAAAACAAAAAAAAACAAAATTTTAGAAATAAATTCTAATGAAATAAACAAACCAAGTGCAGCATTGATATTTGTTGCATTGAGAATACCACGTTCAATTAAACGTGCTTGAAGTGCAGATGAAAGTGGCATTTTTTTTTCCGTTGTTTCTAAAAATGATTTTTACAATGTAATTTCATTGATAAATTATCTTATTGGTTCAATGAATAAAACCAATAATAGAAAAGAAATTTAAGAAAATGAAATGATATTAAGATTAAAATTTATTTTTTGTAAAATTTAATTAACCAAAAAAATTTTCTTTTCAATTAAAAAAAACAAAAATTTATCAATGGTTTATAACGCCCTCTATCGGGTAGACTGACCAACAATTAAACCAAAAAAAAAAAGACGCGACAACCAGCGACTGATAATTGTTCACATTCTTCAATGTTCTCTATTTCGATCTTTCGTTCAACAAGTTATTATTTATTTGTTAATCCATGTATTCAACAATTATTTAATTCAATTAATAAACCATTATCAAATAAACAAACATTAATTGATCCAAATCCACCTTTAGTTGGTCAAGCTATTGAAATAAAAGAATATTTAAGACAAAATTCAATATCATTTGATGAATCATGGACATGTATTAAAGCATTATGTTGTCAAAGTTCAAATAGACTATCAGGAGTAATTCATATTGAAAAAGAACGAGGTAGATAAAAGAAAAAACAAAACCAAAATCTTATAGAATTATAAATATTTGATTTATTCATATAGGTGATTTTGCTTGTTTGAAATGTTCAACAAATGGTACTTGGATAGATTTTAAAACTCAATGGCAACATTTTAAAACAAGGTTTTATTATTTATAGTATTTTATATATATATATATTATTTTTTCATAGAACATATTGTCCTAAAGCAAATACATCATCAATTCTATTATCTGATAAAGAACTTGAAATTTGGGAACAATCAAAAACGATTGAAGATAACGATAAAGAATTTATTGATACTATTCTATCAAGATATGGATTTACTGAGGTGAAATTATTTTGAAATTTTAATAAATAATTTATTATTTTCTATTGATTTATTCATAAATAAAAGATTTTTTGTTTTGCACATTAATAAGACTTATTTTATAATGTTTCGAGATTTAAGTAAATACAAATATTTATTATTGATGATAAAAATTCATTTATAAAGGAAAGATCAGATTTTTTTCAAATCAACTATGAATATTCTGAAAGAGTTCATGCCGATGGCGATACTTTTGAAATGATTATTGTGGTTTACAAACATTAATTTTCAACTAGAAACTATACCTAAAGATAGACCTAAACTATTCTCGTTAAGATCTATTTTACAGTATCCATGCTGAGGATACAAACTGTTTTCAATATATTCATAGCTCATAAGTGATTAATCAGTTGAAGATCTTTCCTCGTTTGATATCGCGAGAGTGAATGATAATTTATAAAACAAAGACTTCATAAAATATTTGTAATATTCAAAGGAATATACAATATCAATGACAACTCTTCAACGATATGGTATTCGACTTTATCAAGATCAACTTATTGCACCATTACATGATACTGAACGATCAATTGTTAATATTGTTGTTCTTGATCCAATGTCTTATTCTGATACTAAACCAATGTAAAATTTTTTTTTGAACATTATTTTTCTATTTAAATATGTTTAATAGAAAACTTCCTGCACCATTTGGTTTAAATCTTCTTTCATCACGAAATGCTGAAATAATTCTTGTTGATTCAATTTGGGATGCTTTATGTGTTTATCAAGTAACTGGTAAAAAAGCAATTGCTCTTCCTAGTGCAAAATTTTCTATACAAGTAAAATGAACTTTTTGTTTGTTTGTTTGTTAAATAATTATTATTGTTAATCATTTTCTTTTAATTTTAGATGAATATGATATTTGAACATTTACGTAAAATTCATATATGGTATTGGAATGATAAAGCACTTGCTTTTCGTTTAGCTAATGTACTTAATCCACATCGATGTTTTATGATAACGTAAGAAAGTTATCTATAACTGATAGATTTTGAAAAAAAAAAACAGAGAATTATTTTAAAGTTATCCAATGAATGCATATACAGCATTTAAATCTGGTCATAGTTTAAAAACAATAGTTAATGAAAGTTTTGCTGTGATTAATAAATGTATTGAACAATTTGATACATTTCGTGATTTAATACGTGATGAATTACTTCAAAGAACACGTTTTGCTGGATTACAAGTTAGTAACTATATGCTTGAAAAAAAAAACCGTTGAAAGTTGTTGTTTTTTTTTTTTAAGTGGCAACGATTTCCTATGTTAACGCAAATTCTTAAAGGCCATCGAGCTGGTGAATTAACAGTTCTTACTGGATCAACTGGTTGTGGTAAAACTACATTTTTAAGTGAATATTCACTTGATTTATGTCTGCAAGGGGTAAATATACATATTAAAAAAAGCTATGAGTAAGATGCCTATATCACTGTAATAGATACAACGTTTTTCTGATTAAAGTCGTGCACATATTGTTTCATCACTTTTTCTTAATGTTTCAACATCCTCATCTTTATGCCATGGTTTATCATTTTTCCGAGCTCCCTCTCCTTCTTGACATGACGTCGTCCGAGTATCTGTTACAAATGTCCTGTCAACGCTTTTCAAACCTGTACGAAAAAGCAAAGTTTATTTCTATTTCTATTTCTCTTTTTCATTTATTTATGAATAGAAGTTTTACCATGAGAAAATCAGAATTAGTAAATAAATCAAAATGCAAATTCATAGTTTCAACTAGACATAAAACTAAACTAAGAAAAAAAAAACATTAGAAATATATGCTACTTGTAGAAATCATAAGATCCAAGATCAACTCGACAGGTTAATCTATTTTTTGTCTTGTCTGTTACAGCACGAAGTCCTTCTTTATCTCATCAATCAGAATTCTCTCTAATTTTTACACTTCGTAATACAAAAAATAGCGTCACTTTCACTCTTTTTATTCAAGAAAGAAATGATATCCCAGAATTATTGATGATTTCGTCAAGGTTGTTGACTTCCTTCCTAGTTAAGTTTTAGAGGTGTAAGCCATCCAGCTACGCCGCCGCCGCCGCCACTGAATCGTAGATAGTTTTACGAATTTTTTAGCCACCGCCGCCACGAGCGAAAATTTTTGATAATAGTATGATGCGCCGCCGCTATTGACATCGATACATATGCGATTAGTCATTTTCTCGCATTTTAGGAGCGAAAACATCTTTTTTTGGTTGTCAAAGCCGCCGCCGCCATGGAAAAAAACTTTGAAATTAAAGCCGCCGCCGCCATGTGACTCCTCGGCTTACACCTGTAGTTACGATCTAAAATCTGAACAGATCCTTACACGACTAATAAAAATGTTTCAAAATTTTATAGTTCAATATAATTATGAATCAGAAAATTTTTTCGTACTATAGCATCATAAGAATCTTATCTATCCAGGTTTTGCAGTTTTTCTCAATGAATCAATTATGAGCGTTTAATGGAAAACATATTTAGTTCTCTACGAAACTTGTAAGAGTTCCAGACAAATTTTCTTTTAATTATTGATGTGCAATTATATTGCATGATTTTTGATCAATTTTTATAATTTTAGCTATCAACTCTATTCGGAAGTTTTGAAATTCAAACACATCGTCTTGCTAAAGTGATGTTAACACAGTATTCCGGGTATGTAGAATAATAATAGATAATTTTGTTCTTCAATTTATTGTCTTTTATTTTCTTATAAAAAAAGTTTAAATTTATCTAAACATATGGATGTATTTGATAAATTTGCTGATCAATTTGCTCGTTTACCAATGTTTTTTATGACATTTCATGGTCAAGAAAGTATTGATAAAGTGATTAATGTAAATAAGAAAGATTGTTTTTTTTTTAATTGTTTTTCAATTAAATAAAATTTATTATTTGAAAAAAATAATAGACAATGGGAAATGCAGTTGCAATTCATAATATTCAACATGTTATTATTGATAATCTTCAATTTATGATGGGAATGGATTATTCAAATAATGATCGATTTTTTAAACAAGATACATTAATTCATCGTTTTAGAAAATTTGCAACAAATAATAAATGTCATGTAACAATTGTTATTCATCCGAGAAAAGTGAAAAAAAAAATATTTGAAAAGAAATTATTAGAAAGATTTTTTTTTTCTTTTTTTGAGGAAGAAGATGATGGATTGTCAATATCATCAATATTCGGTTCAGCAAAAGCATCACAAGAATCTGATAATATTTTAATTATACAACAACGAAAATTAAGTACAGTAAATGGTGGAAATATTAAATATTTACAAGTAAATTAATAATAGAAATCATTTATATAATTATTTGAAAAATTTTAGGTTGCGAAAAATCGATTTGATGGACAACTCGGTCGATTTATACTTCGTTTTGATAAAGAACGTTTATCATTCTCTCGTTCAATTTCTTCAAGAGACGAGTCAAATAATGAATCCGATGATTCTGAACAACAACAACAATCAATTTCTGTTGAGCAATAAATATTGATCATATTTTTTTCTCAGAGATATCGATTAAATACAGTTTTCCTTTTGAGTCAATGTCAGCTGTTTTTGTTATAAAATAAATTATTGTTACTAAAACAGATTAAAGAATTTAGAAAAAAAAAACATTTCATAACATCGTATGTTTCTGCAAAAGTTAGAAAGAAGTGGATTGTAAATTTAACAACTTGACACTAACTAAAGTTAATGATCGACAGTGTTCAGCAATCGAATGAGGGAAATTCATGAGTGTCTTTTTCGTTTTATATGATATCAAACAAAAAGAAAATCGTTTCATATTCTTCTTTTTCAATTACTGGAAATTCCAGATCGCTAGCTGTTATCGTTGTCAAATTGTTAAGACTGTACGTACCTCCACTTGGTAGTTCTGGTGCAGACATTAAGTACAATTATTATTTTTACAATTCAGAAAAGTGCATTTAGCAAATTCACTTTCAAAAATTTTCGCTTAATTATTGGCTGAAGTTTTCAAATATTTTTAGGATTTATTGAAAACAAGAAACTATGTGAGAGTTATAAAATCAAGTGTTATTGATACAATTAAAGCTATTTACTTGTATTTACAATTTTTTCGTAAAAATTTAATTGCAAATTCAATAAATTTAGGTATAATGTCCTTTTAATGGCAGTACATTTTCCGTTGACAAAAATCAGTTTCATCACATTTTAAGTGATCAGTTTTATATTGATTATTATTAACATATGAATGGCAAAAATTTTAATTTGCTTTATTCTAATACTTGTAAAAACAAAAAAATCGATGAAAATTTAGTTTCATGAATTGATGATTCCGGACTTCAAAGACAAGCAAATTTGGCCAAAACTGCTCGGCAAGATGCTAGAAACTTGTCATATCTTGCAGTGCTTTTCCTGAGCGGTCAGCTTTGAAGTTTAGACATCTTTCAGAGCATGTGTCTGAAACAAGATAAATCAAGGAAAAGTATCACGAACCTTGAAGATTCGTTTGGTTTATCCAAATACATCCAAGAGCTATCGATCGCTTACTGAAGTCTCGATCACTCTCTCTTGGCAGAGTATAAATGCAGGTCGTCATTAGCGTTCACAGTAGTCTAACCTCAGCATTAATTTTCACTTCAATTAGTTTTACTTAAATGTATTCTTTTTTAAAAAGAAGTTTTCTAAACTTGAAAACTGATGCACAAAAAGTAATATATATAGGCTCTGTAAAATACTGATTAGAACATTTTATTCGATTATAGAAGTAAATCTATGAAAAGACACGTAACTGCAAAAGTCGAATTACTATTTAAAGTCGTTCCTTGACGCGCAGTTCCACCGTGCGTTTTAAGCGTGTGGGTGTGGCAGTGAAGCGACTGTGAGTCTTTTCGTTAGACACACCCACATCTGCATCCATATTCCACACCCTAGACAACAAAAACGCATTGCAAAAGAACACTAAAGGTATTTGCAGAACGCGTCACATTTTTCCAATAACACATTCATGGCCATTCTTGTTTTATGAACCATCGTTCATGAACACTTTTTATTACGCTTTTCCTAACTTTTCAGTTTACCAGTAGAAAGAACATTAAAATTTTTGTCTGTAATGAATATTTTAGACTGATTTGATATCATAATGAAGAGATATGCAGATGATTTTTCACCTATTTCGGCATTTCAAGCATCTCCTATGACAAAAAGTTCATAAAAAGAACCTTCATAAATGCGTTCTTACAAAAATGCAACGTGTCCTGAAAACGCTTTTAGCGTCCTTGTGGAATATGTTTTTCTTGCCTAATGACGGCTCTTTTTCTGAACAAGGTTGTGGCACAGAGAAGCGCAGTTTTTTTTGCAGCAAAAATGCTAATAGGCTCTTAAGAACATGTTGTTTTATTTTAGCATCGTGATTTTATTCGTTCTTTTTCATTCTTGTTTTTATGGGCAGTCAATATAAAACAGTAAAAGCGAGAAAAAATACATGTTTGCTTTGTTCTCACGTGTAAACGCAGAAAAAAACTGAATTAACATCGTTTGCTCCACCAATGAACAATAACGTTTAAATGACTTGCTAAAGAAACGAAGTAAATGTCTGTTGACAATCAACATCACTACAGAACAGTAGCAAGATGAAATCAGCAAACTTGTTGGCCGAAAAATTACTCAATTGTAAGAGATTAACTTACACAAAAACCACTCTAATGTGACAAACGGTCGAGACCGACGAAACTCGTTCAGTGAAACAGGATAATCATATAAGAGGGATTCAAGCAAAAATAAATTAGGGTGTGGGTTGTGGATCTGAGCCTTCTCTTCACCCACAAGCTTGAATGATTGACTTGCCATTGGATGAAGACTTATATGGACTTCATGCTTTATTTATCAACAACAAACAGTAATCTGTTCTAAATTATCTTTAAATTTTTAATCTCAGATCGGAGAACTGAATTAAACCAATATGATCTAGGTCAAAACGTCAGCAGATACATTTTTCAGCAACAAACTTCTCATTAAAGCAAGTAAAGCAAAGAATGCTGCCAAATTGTCCATCCACAGATTAGATGAACAATAGGAATAAACAAAAAATGACAATACTTCTCATGAGAAAACTATATACGAAAGAAAGCCAAACTCTTAATATAACTTGCAAAGATACTTTTTTTCTCAACAAAACTATGGATTTTTACCGCGATAAGAGAACTGAGAATGAGAAGAATCAGAATAAATTCACAATAGGTTCTTGTAGAGCAGAGCAAATGTTCGCTACTTTTCATCGATAGACTATAGCTGCTTACTGATTGTTTGCGCAGCCAGATAAATAAAAACATTCTTAAGCCAATGTTTTCTTTTTTCTTAGAAAAGAAACTAGCGTGAGACATTGAAATGCATGATATTCTAACTTAGCTAATGAAACGAAGTATATGAATTTTCCAAGGTATATATTCTTGGACCATTATTTAAATTCACGAAAGACAAAAAAAAATTGTCTTCTTCATCCATAACGACGACCTTCTTTACATTAATAAATACTTATGGCATTCTCTTTGGCTTCTCTCGTTAACTAAAAATCAAACTACTGAGAGATTCACTTTTTTTTTTACTTCTGTTGCTTGTTTTATTTCTTTTCTACATACTTCCAGACATGAAATCGAAAAGTACGTCGTCAGAGAACTGTGCAACATGTAATAAGAGTTCTGATCAAAAGGCCAAGCCGGGAATTCCGTTGTGTCGTGACTGTCAGTCCTCATTCTGTCTACTACACATGATGGAACATCGAGATAGACTCGCCAAAACTTTGAATGACATTAGCAGTAAGCGCGATGAATTGAAATCTCATATCAAGCAACTACTTACGAATATCACCTGCAAACCGTACTTAGATCTGATTAACGATTGGGAAGCCAAAATAATCGATAAGGTACATTCTGAAGCCGCAAATGCTCGACGCCAAGTACATGAATTAAACATTAATATGTTCAAACTCGATTTGAACGTGCTAGAAGAAAAATTGGTTGGTTTTGATGAGAATAAAGACTAATTCGAAGAAGATCTAGATGAAATCAAAGCAACGATACAAAAATTGAGGATGAAATGAACGATACTTCAAATATACAGCGTGTCAAAGTGAATTTACCTACATTGGATTGCTCAAATTTTGTCGTTCGTATTGAAAACGTTTTTTTTCCTTTATCAGTTATGGAAGATGCTTGCAAGAGTCAAAAGCCGTTTGCCAGCATTCAGACTCGACTAGAAGGCTCTTTGTACGTATGGAACAATCGAATATTCAATTTTGGCAGACGTGAAGTAAACTCATTTGAATTAGATAAAAAGTGTTTTAGCTCGGTAGATGTATCTGTAAATGGCGAAGTTGACATCAGCATTTGGTCTGTTAGCTCCATATGTATAGAACGAAAGAGACAAGCAGTGTCACTGATGTTATGTGACAGAACGATGAAAAAGATGACCTTCATGGGAATCGAACCCATACCTCCTGCTATCCGGGCAGCTGTCCTAAGCCAATTAGACTAGAAGGCGCATCTTAATCATCGTTTAGCGTCCAAGTGAATCATCATGGACGCTAACATCTCCCCCTTTGCACAGTTCTTTTTTCATTTCTATGCGCCTTCGCGTAGAGGAGAACGTACGAACATGTGCTGGAGTTGTATATACGGTGTACTGCTTGCCCAACTTCTCCACCATTGTTAGCTCCATATGTATAGAACGAAAGTGACAAGCAGTGTCACTGATGCTATGTGACAGAACGATGAAAAAGATGACCTTCATCCCAGGTGATTCGATCCGACTGTCGGATTACGTCGGATTATATCGGATTATATCGGAAAAATTACCGGATTTTAACGGATCCGACGGGAACTCGTCGGAAGTTGTCGGCGTCCTAGCCACAGGATTCCGACAGGAGGTTCCGGATGGCGGAATAATCAGGATCCTGCGAAATCCCTGAAACTCCGACACTTTCCGACATCCAGAACCACTTGTCGGAATCCTGTGGTTAGGATTCCGACAAATTCCGGCGAATTTCTATCGGATTCGACAGGGTGAATTCGACCTGGGATGGGAATCGAACCCATACCTCCTGCTATCCGGGCAGTTGTCCTAAGCCAATTAGACTAGAAGGCGCATCTTAATCATCGTTTAGCGTCCAAGTGAATCCTCATGGACGCTAACATGGTCGATATATCTCGAAAAATTTATACTGATCGTTGATAAGACTATCATCACTACAAATGGCAAAAATACTCGTGCTCATCTAAGAATGGGGGATTATGTAACATGTATGACTACGTGGAACGATGATATTGCTTTTCTTGTGAATCAATATGTGATTGTTTACAAGATGCCTAAGAACCAGCATGAAGAATGGACGAGAAAATGTTCCAGGACTCAGCCTTTTTTGTGTCCCAAAGGTGATACTACTGAGGCTATTAATATGAACAAGGACTACTATTTATCGCTCCTTGACGGTAATCATGATTAGATACTCACAGCTGTGCCTTTTG